TTTATAGTTTCTTCAAAGATTGATACAATTGTGTTTTTCTCACAGTTCCTGACTGCAATAAAGGAAATATTAAAACTATTGAACTTTGCACTTTGTTTGTTTGTTAGTTCATTTTTTAGTTATTTTTTTAAAAAAATCGTTAAATGATGATTGTTTGATTTTTATAATTTAGTTTTTGATTATGATTTTTATGGTTTATTTATAAACAACCCATATCTGAACAAGCTAAACTTAAAGAAAACATTAGACCCAGTTAGTTATTCACATTTCATAGTGTAAATCGCAAAGTGCAGTAATAAAAAGCCTCAGTTGACTCTTTCAGTTTAGATGCACATTATTATTTATCTCGTTGTTCCTCTTGTGTTTTGTTTAAAACTAACTTTAAGATTAACTTCACTTTAAATTGTTACATTCAGACATTTAGGCTGAACAGTTTTTTGTCCACAGCTTTGTTTCTCGCATGAACTGAGCTTAAAACCATTCAACAACTTCTGGTCTTTGGGTTGTCCATCTGTCTCAGTCTCACAATATCTTCAAAACATCTTGAGGTAATTTCCTCAAATCTGACACAATGAACTGATTAGTATTTGGTGGTCAAAGGTCAAAGGTCAGTGTGACATCACAAAACATGTTTCTGTCCATAACTGAAGAATTCAGACACTAATTCTGACAAAACTTGACACAAATGTCTGACAGGATAAAATAATGAAGTTATGACATTTTATATCCAAAAGGTCAAAGGTCAGCATCACTGTGACATCATCATGTTGTGTATTAAACACTTTTCTGTCCATTACACAGCTTCTTTGAAGCAACAAATCCTGTCATGGCTCCATATGAGTCTGAACAGACATAGATGGAAACTGCAACGTGACTGGTTCCTGGAGGTGTACAGCCACAAGGCGGTAATTCTAGTTTTTATAAATAAATAAATAAATGAAAGTTAAGATCATTTTTTTTCACTCATGAGCAGATGATGAGTGTGTCTCTGCAGACTGCAATGTGGTTTGAACTCAAAAGAAACAAAACCCACAGTGAGATTCCAGGTGCAACAGCTCACCTTTGTTAATGATGTAATGCTCCATACAGCAGGGGGAACAGGAAGGTCCACAGGGGGCGCTGCAGGGAGAGGTCACAGTGAGAACAAAAGTTTTGAATAAAAGAGAGATGAGCTCCAGTTTCACTGTGATCACCATGAATCAGACACAGAGACCTGGCGCCGTATTTATCAAACGTGTTAGAGCGCCATTTTAGTCTTAAGTGCTCAGAATTTGTGAAATTTAGTCCTACTCTCAAACTTAAGAATCAAAGCTATTTGTCAACCTTCTCAAGTCTAAGAATCACTCCTACTCCCAAAGATATTTAAGAGACCTCCGGAGGTGTCCTAAGTGGTCAGGAGCTGCCAGTAGAGGATGGCACTGAGGAGAGGGAGACGTGCGCGAAGGATGTCCTGACTTTGTTTGATGACGAGCAGCTGATCAAACGGTATCGTTTGGACAAAGCGGGTATTATTATTGTCACAGATTTAATAAGGGACGTCATCTCATCAGTAACGTGACGCAGCAGAGCTTTCACGGCAGAATTAAAGGTCATCACAATGCTTCGATATCTTGCCACTGGAAAAATGCAACAGTGTAACGCTGATTATTTGGATCCATCACAACCGTCAATTAGCAGAATTGTTATGGAAACAATAATGGCCCTTACTGCTCCTCACCTCGTCATGCGCTTCACTGACTTCCCAACTACACCCCGGTAATTCAACAGAAGCAAATTGCATTCATGCAAACAGCTGGCTTCCCTGGAGCGGTCGGTGCAATCGATGGCACACATATTAGGATCATCGCTCCAAGCGTGGACGAGAGCGTTTATGTAAACAGGAAGAGGTACCACAGTATCAACACGCAAGTAGTGTTTGATGCAGACTACAACATCTTGGATGTGGTACCCAAGTTACCTGGGTCCACCCATGACACAAGGATCCTAAGTGAAAGTGGCCTGAAGCAGCTGCTGAGAGGCACATTGTGCCACCTGGGTGTCACCTAATTGGGGATAAGGGATATCCCTTACGCCGCTGGCTTCTTACCCCTTATCAGATGCCAGACACCAGGCCAAATGAACTATAACAGGTTAGCCCAACGAAATCCCTAATTGTTTTAAATTTAAAATGTTTAATTAAGTTTATAGAATATGGTTTAATAATATTCTCGTCACAGGGCACACAAAAGCACAAGAAGTGTGGTGGAGAGAGGAATTGGGAAGCGCAGATTCCGCGTTCTGCATTCAGAAATACTCCAGACAGAGTGAGGGAGGAGATGGAGATTCGAGCGTCCCTGGCAATATCCATCCATGTGATGGGGCAGCCTTCAGACAACACTTCGCCAACCTCCACTTTGGGTAAGAATAACAATAAATCACAGATACACACAGTGCCTTTTAATTAATTTGTTTTATTAGTCACTCAGTATTTTTTATTTTTTTTAAAGCCAAGTTGTAGTACTCCTCTTGGAGTCGCAACACTTTAATTTGCAGCTTCATTTTTTGTCTCCGCAGTGCCTGCAGATCATCTGGGTCCTCTGCTGGGCCACAATCACTCACCCCGGCCTGAAAAACAAAAGCTAGTGAGACGGTATACTCAAGATGCAAAAAACTTAAGTTGATTTTTTATTTTCACCCACCACTTGATGGATGCCTATTGCCTCACACAAAGTGCTTGGGCCTGGCTGCACTGCATCAAAAGCACAGGGAGAGTGCTCATCGAAGATGCCTGGGGACACAGGAGACTCTCTTGGTGCATCTTGATCCAAACTGAAAAATAAAGAATATGGCTGAAATATCAGAAATGGTTCTATTGTTGTTATGGTTATGACTTAACAAACACACATTTTAGACATTTACTGAACAGTAGCCTGGCAAATATGCAGCAACAATTACACACATATCTTTCACCAAAACTCACCTAGGCTGCAGCGCAATATCCCTATACAGTTGTAACAGGAATAATTTGGAAACTCACCCTTTTGAAAGCAAATCAAGCTTCATCGCAGCTGGATCCTGGCCGCCGTCCAACCCAGAGATGCTGGCGTTATCTTCTCCAAGTATGCGCAGCACAACCTCTGCAACTGCGCTTAAGTCTTTGCCAGGGGGGCCTCCGCCTGTGTAACAATATCACAATGGATTAGATAGATATTAGCGAATAGAGTAGCATGCAAGCAAATGAAAAAGAAACACGAGGCTACATATGGAGCTACATTAGGTTCAAAAGTTTTGTACTTGAAAAAAATAAAATTTGAAACTGAAAATTCATGTGTTGATCTTGAATTTTGAAAAATACAACAATATATTCAAAATAAAAATAAGTGCATGAAACGTTTTTTCAGGTTAAATATAATTTTGATTCACTTTGGTAATTCTTTTGAATGAATAATTTATTTTCACTTTTCACTTCCATATATATTTTAACATTTGAGGTCTTATTTTTTTCAGTTCAGATCTTATTTTTACAGTTTTAAATCTCTTTTTTTCACTTTCAGATCTTATTTTTTACAGTTTCAAATCTGTTTTATGAGTTTCAGACTTTTGACCCTGATGTGGCGTGGGGGGCGTGGCATCAACTGACAGGGGTGTGGAATCATGAGTGACAGTGCCTTCAGGGAACGTAGGAACTAAAAAAATTCTGACTCAACACTTACATACACCATATTCATGTGACTGACAGTGTAAAAATTGATGCCAGTGACAGTGAAATCACCTCCTCATTATTATCCACTTCTCATCATTATTATTCTTATTGTTATTGTTATTGTTATTTATTGCCGTTTCTTGTATTTTTGTACTTATTTTGCATGCCTAGTTTTTAAGTTTTTAAGTTTAAATTTTGAAATCTTTAATCTGACTCTTTCTCCTTGACTGCTGTAACACTGGAATTTCTCAATTGTGGGATCAATAAAGGTGGATCTTATCTCTATATTAAACACTGACTACGGGTCTGACGTTTAAACTACGCATGAAAACACTACGTTCTGTGACAACACAACAGTAACATATTGGTAATTACGACTTACAATTGTGCGCCTGATTGTTGCGAATTGCATGCTGAGATACCTGGCTGTCTGAAGTCCACACAAATCTGCTCCAATGTATCCCTAGTAAAAGGGGCGTGGCGAGAACACATCCGGGCATTTGGACTGAACTTGGCCAGATGTGAACTTTGAATTGGAACAGTACTTGTGCTGTGACTGATGACGTGTCACAAGTCCGCACAAGAACGCATGTTGAGCTGCTCTAGTCTTTATTTTGTTGGTGACAGACTTCCGACAGCCTGAGTGATAAACCTGCAGGTGATCAGATCAGACATGTGACTGATTATTGGCTGGATCAATAACAGAGAGATGACCACAGGAAGTCTGCCAGAAATAACCCCGGAACCTCAGCTGGTGTTCTTGTTGCAGGGGGACAAACCCCACGCTGCCTCAGGTGTCATCGGGGCCCAATCCCAAACCGGCCCCTAACCCCTTGCCCTATCCACTCCCTCTGTGCATCAGTGCAGGCTTCTGATGAGCCCAGCAGGAAGCGCATCATCACAATGGAGGAAACAACATACAAATGAAAAGAGTTCCGTCTTTCTACTTTGTAAAATATTTTAGATCAAACACACACATTTGTTTTCCTCACACTGACTTCACAGTCTCAAACAAACTCACAGAATGTTTGGTGTCAAAATATCAATCAATCAATCAGTCAATCAGTCAATCAGTCAATCAATCAATCAATCAATCAATCAATCAATCAATCAATCAACCAATCAATCAATCAATCAATCAATCAATTTTATTTATAAAGCCCAATATCACAAATCACAATTTGCCTCACAGGGCTTTACAGCATACGACATCCCTCTGTCCTTATGACCCTCACAGCTGAT